TATATATAGTGAGGGATTGAAACCCCAACCTCGAGGTAGGGAAACCAAACCAAACCTAACCAAACCTTACAGAAAAATCAATGAATAAAAATTACATTTGTATATCTTATAATTGTCTCTTTATTTTTGGCAGTGTATATGTACCAGCGTTTGATTCTGAACAAGATTAATGTTTTCTGAAGTTTATTTTCATAATGTAATAAACAAAACACAAAAATACGAAAAAGTAGTTTTATGTGAAGTAAAATAAAACCTTATTTATAATAAATAAAAAAGAATAAAAATTAATAGATAAAATTAGTTTAAAAAAAACAATTATTCCCCATAAATATCTCATTTTTTAATATGGTTTTCTGAGTATAAAAATACATTTATTAGTATAAGGCCACCGTACGTTGTACTCTAAACAAAATTTTACGCAGTACGCGGTAGTTATACGATGTACCGATGGCCTTGCCTATAGTACCCTAAGACTACCTTACGAACTTTGACTTGCCGCCATTTTTTGCTACGAAACGAAAAATATGTTTCAACTACATCTACCAATTTAAACATTGTAGAATCGATTTTTGAGGTATTCTTTCACATTCCTTAAATTCCTATATCTTAAAAATCAAATTTAAAGTTTCTCTTACCTTAAAATCGTCATATTTTTTGAAAAAATAACGGATTTTTGTTCAATCTTTTTTTGGTCGATAGTGCTAGGTCTCGAGTTTGTTGTGAGTGAAGTTTTGCATTACGACGTTCAAAGCCCTACGAGGTACACGCAAAACACTCCCTACCGTTTGCAGGGTAGCGACATGTCGCGAATTTACTTTGCAAAGTGACGATGCACAGACGGATGCACGGTAGCGCATTTGAGGTCCCTACTACTATTAATATTATTATGCTAAATCTAATAAATATATAAAAATCTTATTCTTTCTTATTTCATTTTGAGAACCATCTGTGGCCTAAGGCCTAATAGTAGTAGTAGCTTCTACTAGGTTAGCCTAGGCCTAACCATATAGTGAAACAGAAGGGACCTAGGCTAGCCTAGGTCTAGGGTAGCGAGGGCCTAGTGGTGTAGCCTAGGCTTAGGCCTAGGCTTAAGGCCTTAAACCTAGCTTAATAATACTGATAGGGCCAGGCCTAGACTAGGCTATGCCCTCCTTTCTAGGACTAACCTGGGTAGGGCCTCCTTTGAGGAAGAAGTAATAACTAACCTGATCCTGATAGCAGTAAATGTGTTCTTTGCTATAGGCACCATATCAAATTGTTACACTATTCAGATTCTCGTTTGTTGTTTTTGTAACATTCAGTATCTCCATGGTTAGTGTGGTGATGATTAACGCGTTATCTGCTCTGAACTCTTTGCCGAAACTTCAGTTACCAGCAGAGGGCGGCATTTAATTTTGTGTCTGCACCCAGGGGCCCGCAGTTTTGCGTATACTCCAAAATCGGAGGGTTGAATTACAGTTTTAAAAACTCCGATTCTGGAGTTTTCGCGTATGGTAGGCAAAACCGCCAAAATCGGAAAAAAAAATCAAAAAAATCAAAAACGGAGTAACAGTAAATGAAACCTACCAGATGCTCTTATTTCTTATCATGCCCTTAAAGAACCGAAACACACCCCACCATGCCCAATAACCCTGCACCCCGACACCAATACGATTGTCGGATTCAATCCCGACGAAGACACATCAACTCCGAAAAACCGAATTGAGCACGACGGAACGCACCCTATCTTCCGGAGTATGCACTACACCTTCTAATTTGAAATTAATCTATGTTTTTTGTTGTTGTTGTTGTTGTTGTTGTTGTTGTTGTTGTTGTTGTTAATATATAATAATATTTTGAGTGAGGTTTCTCTAAGACTTTGTGTTAAAGGGATTTTGTTCGCTTTTGTGTTCCTGCCGACTCATTCAATTTATTGTACTTGTATTCTTTATGTATTCCACCAGTGTACTTTGTTTTTTGGCGAATAAAAATTAAGAATAAGGATTTTCTTAGAAATAATATTTTCTAAAGCATTATAACAAATTTGGTATTTAAAATAGAGTACTTTACCATTATTATCATGAATATCAAAATTAATTATTTCATTAGTGAGGATTAACGTAAAACATGTGGTATCAAAAATAAAAGCTCCTTTGCAAAGATGACCAGATCACTTTTACCAATGGACAATTACAAAATAAATGTATAATAGTTTCGTTTTCTCCAACACCAAATGAACACAAAGAATGATCCCTTTTAACGCATTTTAAAAAGAAGACAGTTTGTTGTAATACAGTCGAGTCCGCCAAAGTCGACTCTGTTTAAGTCGAAAATTCGCGTCAGTCGAATTTTTGAAAAAGTCCCAATTCTTTCCTATGTATTACTGTGTAAATTGTTTGTTTAATTCGAATTTTTATAAGTCGAATTTCGACTATATCGACGGAATTTTCCGGTCCGGATAGGCCGATTTTAAAGTAATTTCAACCACACAAGTCGAAGTTCCAA